CGAGCCAGCGGCTGCCGAGGGGATTCCTGGGCCGGGGCCGTTTGCCGGGCCCCGGGCAGCCAGGCTCAGGGTGGCTGGGTGTTCGGAGAGGGTTCTGGACCACCGGCAAGCTTGCGCCTGCGACCGCCGAGCCCCCTCCAGGGCTCTGGGCTAACCCTTCAGAAACCCGCCCGGAAGGGAGCCGCTCCGGATTTGCTCTGCATCGCTGCCGCGGGGGCAGCTGCCCGAGGGGGCTTAAACGGCTGCTGCGGCGGAGGGCCCAGGTTTGGAAGGGCTTTTTCTCAAGGTGAAGATAGCAACGGACCTGAGGCAAACAACAGCCCGCGAGTAACGTTGAAAGTACGTGGATTACAATAAAGTGCGCTGAAAGCTCTTTCTGTTATCAGAGTTGCCGTCCGTCTGTTTATGCGCGTGGTTACTTTTGAGTTGCATAGCGTGGGCAGTAGTAAAGTGTGAATTCGCAATGGATGCGGACAGCTGTAGTTTTCCTTAGCATTTTTGCTGTGACTGATTTCATGACATCATGTTATTGTCAGCTCTTAATGACCGCATAGATGGATTTTTTCCATGATGATCTGACATCTAAACTAGTTAGTGCTCTCACTCACATAACCAATTATATTTTCTGCAGGACCCCAAAGTCAGCTATTCAATCAAACACAGGCAGCCTTTCATTTTAAATGTTAGAATTGGGCTAACGCTGAATTAAGAAGATACACTCCTTGCTCTGGGGACATTGGTCAGTAATCTCAATTTTGGCACAGATACACCCCCAAACTTAATGGAAATGTAGCTAAAACGCTACCTTTGTCTTTAATCACCGCCAGGGTAACAACTAACAAACCTCATGAAAAGGGCCACTTTGAAACTAGCATAATAAAAATGTGGCAGCAGAAAAGGTTCAGTAAAATTGAACAAGGCACCGACTTTCTGTGTGCTGAAAAGGTTCCAGTCACCAGGATAAGGCAGCGTGGGTATAAGCAAGAATTTAAATCGGCCGGCAGCCCGGAAAGGAACATCACGGAGGCTTTGGCCGAGGCAGCTGGTGACGGCGGTCCTCCCGGCTCAGTGGAGCTGTGCGTCCAGATCATACTTCTCACAGAATTTGTCGGTGAAGGGGAGGCACGTGAGGACTTCGCACCACTGGCAGCGAATGGGGTAGAAGTAGAACAGCACCACCAGTCCGGAGAGCAGCCCCACGAAGACCAACTGGAAGATGATGATCTGGCACCGCTTCCGGTACAGATCGAATCTGCCAAAGCTGATATATGGGAGGAAGGCGAAGGACAGGAAGAGGCCGCTGATGAAGCCACAGATGTGAGCAAAGTTGTCTATCCAGGGTAGGAGGCCGAAGGCAAACAGGAACAGCACAACAGCCAGTAGTTTGAAGAGGGCCCTCCAGGGCCGAGCCAGGATCTGCCAGCTCTGGAAGAGCTCCACGAAGAGGCAGGCCAGGATGCCGAACTGGGAGCCCGCCGGGCCCACCTGTGCAGGGGGATGGCCATTAGACAGCTGGTGAGCCTCACCCCGCGGCGCTACAGGAAAGGCTGGGCAGGCAGGGACATCCTTGTTCAAGCCTGGTTGAGAACCTGGCTTGTGCTGCCGGAAGAGGAAGAGCAAGCACAGGGGCTGCCCGCAGGGGAGGGGCACCCTGGCTCTTCAGGCGAGAGTGTGCAGGGCCCGCGAAGGAAGGCAGGAAATGGCCCAAAGGGAGTGACGGAGCCGGATCCTGTCCCCAGCACACTGAGAGGCTTCCTGCTGCACTGGGGCCTTTCGGAGGATGCAGCTGAGCCACTGCCCCTTGGTCCAGCGCCACAGAGACGAGGCATCTCGGTCCCCACACTGGGGCACCCTTTGCTTGAGAAGTCATCCTGCAACCACACCAGGCTCCCCCTCCCTGGGCAGCTAAGAAGACACACCTCGGCCCGATAGGGGAGGAAGATAGCGCTGGCCAGGTTCCCCGTGATGCCGCTAAGCAGGTAGATCAGGGAGATGCGGTGCCAGCCAGCTAACTTCTCCAAGTCGCGCAAGATGGTCATCTGGAAGCACACTGACACAAGGCAGTGCAGGATCCTGTCAGGCAGGAAAAAGCAGCAGCAGTGACTTTTGCTCTCACCAAGTGGGGAAAGGGAAGTGGGGACTTCCAAAGGAAAGTAGCAGCCTCTGCAGTAGATCCTTCCCAGTGGTTCTGGGCTGGGCTTACCCTGCATGAAGGAACAGCGACAGCCACAGGCGGTAGACCTGATCCGGGACCTCGGGGTTGAGGAAGGGGAGGAGGCCGCAGACGTCATCCATGCAGTGCACCTGGCAAGACAGAGTAATGGCTGAGTTCAGAGAACAGTGCCTGCTGGAGTCAGCCTGGGGAGGGACACGGGTACCTGGGAGCAGAGAGTGGCCTCTTCGTGGAAATAACCGTGCATGAAAGTGCAGTATTCCCGCGAGGTGATCTCACACCTGGGAGGAGAGAACCAGAGTGCCCGGAAGTTAAGCAGGGCCGAAGTGGAGAGAACACTGGCTGCACCAGCAGGTAAAAAGGACTGGGTGACAGCGAGCCCAAGGCTGGTGAGGCAGCGCTGCCAAGGATGAGCCTCCAGCCCAGAAGAGGCTGGTCCAGTGGAAGGAGGCAGGTCAGCCAAATGGCCCCCTCCATCTGGCAGGAGTGGACTGGCCACCCCGTCAGTTCTGGGCCCTAACAAGGTCCACCCCACCCTACCTTCCCTTGGTGCCGATACAGCAGGGCCGCCCAGTGATCACGCAGTCCATGTGCGGGTGGTTAGTGCGGTTCCCAGCGCTGTTGTTGGTGCAGATCTGGAAGAAGATGGACAGGACTTGCTCCTTGCCTTCTCCTCAAGAGAATGCTGCCCGGAGCATTCCCCCCATGCAGATGGATGTGGGGGTGGCTAGGCAGACTCCATGGTGCCCCTGCAGTCCCTAATCCTCTGGAGACGTACGGGCCACTTGGTGATGTCATCGGGCCACTCGTGAGGGTCCATGGAGGCTGGCTGCTCACACACCCTGTGGAGGGAAGAATCCTGGGGAACTTCATGCTGTGGGACAAGGCAGCAGCCCTCTGGTCATGCCACGAGCTGGAGTGCCTGCTTCAGGGAAGCAGGCCCGGAGCCCTGCGACCCAACCTACCTGGGGTCTTGGTGACACACAGAACCAAACTTCCTCTTGTCTCCGGCCAGCAATGGGGTGCTGGCGTGACTTGGCCACTTCACCCATACGGCCAAAGTGGACTACAAAAAAGATGGGTACATGTGGGCAGGAGCAGGGTCCCCGGTGGGGATCTTCTCTCTCCCCAGAAGCAGGGGCCTGGCCAGCGGGAAGGACGGGAGCCCTCCACTCAGGCATGGGGGGAGGAAGGGGGTCGGGTTCCCGCCAGGGGCCGGCCAGCCAGCCAGCCAGCCAGCCGGCCGGGCTTACGGAGCACTCCTCCTCTGCCGTCTGCACACAGCCCGACTTGTCGTTGCGCACACAGCAGGCGGAGTGCTTCTCTTTGTCACGGGCCGCACGGATGAAGCTGTCCACCTGCTGGTCTTGCCGCATGCAAGGGGCGAACTTCGCGCCCAGATGGATGAGCGCTTCCTGGAAGGGGCGGCAGGAGTCTCAGCCAAGCCTGTGGAAGACTCTGACTCCCAGATCAAAGCCTAGCAATCAAAGGAGGAGCCACATGGGGCTGGCACTCACTGAGCTGGGGCCTATCCAGAAATTCTCCTGTTGGACGTATTTCACGTTCTCATATATCCCACGGTTTCTCAGAACCTGCCAGAAAAAAGCCCCAGCACCTTGGAAGGGAGGAAGAGGTGGGCAGAACCCCCAACTCCAGCCTCCCTGGTTGCAGAAGGCCTGCAGATGGTTACGCTCTGCTCTCTCGGCCAGGAAGGGACTTGGGAGCGGCCCACCGTCCCCGTGCAGAAGAGGAAGGTCTACTCAGAAGTAGATGGGGCGCAGTTCACCACAGAAGAAAGGGCTTTGGAGGCAAGGGAGGACTGCTCACCGAGTCGACCGTCTCATGCTGTGAAAACCCCACGGGAGCAATTCCATAGATGGACACCGCCAGGATGGTGATGAGGGAATGCACAAAGGTGACCCAGTAGGTAAAGAAGGGCCTGCACAGAGCAGAGGGCAACCGGGCAGTCAAGCAACCATCGGTCGTTTGCCGCCACCCCCCCCGTCCACACCGGTACCGGCACCAGCACCTGCACCGGCACCTCCACCTACCGGTGGTCATCCATATCCTCAATCTGCTGCTTCACAAAGCTGTCGATGCGCTTGCGGTAAGTCCGGTTGGTCAGCCGACCCACCATGCCTAAGCCATAGGGGCGCTTCTCCTTGGAAAAGAGTTTGCGGACAGGGACAGTGATGCGCTGGCCGCGCCGCTGCAGACCCAGGCTGACCACCTCTTGCCGCAGGCGGACCTTCGGCTGCAACAAGGCCCCCTCCTTCTGTTTCCGCCAGCCACGCTCCAGGGGACTGGAAGAGAAGGGGGGGAGCACAGAGCAGGATAACTTCCCAAGAAACAAAGCTCTGGGATGTTGGACACACGCCAGCGTTTGTCCCGTAGCATACACTTAATTACTGCATTCACACGACATTTTAGCTGCCTTCTGAACGAACGGTTTCTGGGTCCACGTACAAGATGGACGCAGCCAGGTCACCCATGACAGGGTTTGGGGTCCCGGTGCAGCCTGCCCTGGCTTCGTTTGGGCCTGGCGTTCCCCCTCCCCTCCAGGAGCCATATTCGGGGCCGCAGATCATTCGTCCAAAGATCTGCAGCTTTGGCGACGTCCTTCGGGCAGTGTTTCACCCAGGTGAGCCTCTGCAGCCCCCAGGCAACTGCAGAGCGAGGGGCCCGGCAGCCCACCCCTTTCCTCAGAGGACCCCGGCTGCCATTCGTTCGCCTGTCGCCTTCCAGGAGGCCTCCACACGCTAAGACTCACAAGAGCAGGTGGCTTCTTTCTAGCTCGCTCCGGTCCAGGGCACCCCCCGTGAGGGCCGGCTGAGCCTGTAGGGCCTTCGCCTCAGGGACCCTGAGCGCCGCTTCGGAGGGGGACTCAAAAACTTCGTCGGGATATGTGGAGGGCTCTTCAGGCAGGACCCCTTCCTGGGCAAGGGAGGGAAGGCTCAGCTGTGGGGGCTGCTGGGGCCGCCGGCAGCCCCTTCCCACCCCCGCCACTCTGCCCTTACCCTGGCAAAGAAGGAGGTGTCCAGCTCATCTGGGAAGTCCATCGTGAAGTCTTCCTCCAGGAAGCTGGCCGGAGTGAAGCTGCGCTGTCGTGTCCTGCGCAGGGTGCCCTCTCTCACGGAACGGCCCTGCCGTGGAGATGGCGTGTGAGAGATGGAAAGCGCGCCACCCCTAAGCAGCCACGGGTGTGTCAACACACCACGATTTACCCAGAACGTGCCAACTTACTCTCCAATAGCACCGAAGATGCCGGGTTTGGACTTCAAAACCCTGCAGGGCCTAAGGACCCCCAGCGCCACCCGACTCCCACAAAGACCTTTTTCCAGCCCTAAGAAGCAGGTCTGGCCTAGTTGCAGTGCTTCCCAAGGCAGGCCCATCAGAAAAGTAGTTAAAAATCAAATATTTCAGCCAGCTCCAGACTGATTTCAGCTTGTTTCTGGTGCTTTATTCTCAGACGAGGGCCGTTGCTCGGAAACCTTGTGTCGGTCCCTGGCAGCCCTAGGTGGACAGGCTGACCACAACTGCTGACCGGATCGTGCAATAAAACTGCAGGTGGACCAGGGGGAGGGATGCGAGCGCTAGCTAAGGGCTGAGAGGCTTGATGCTCGAGCCCCAAGGCAGGCTAGCGAGAGAGCACGTGCCCCTCCTGAGGTGCCCCTTGTGCCATGCTTCTGGCCGCTTTTCCCCAAGCACCTCCCGCCCAGCCCCTCACCTTCACTAGTGCCGCTGCTGCTCGGAAGCTCATCTTCGCCACTGACTCCCTTTTCCGCCGCCGAGGCCAGCGACTGAAGCCGGAGCGTGAGCTGGTGAAGGAGCACAACGAGGTGGCTCCGGGTGTGGCCGGTGTGTGAGGCACGCTGTAGCCATCGCTGTCCTCGGCTATTCGGAAGGCCCGTCCACGGGCCAGGGGGTCAATTATCTGGCACCAGAGAGAGGGGAGTGGCCCTGAGGTGCAACGGCCCAGGGGCAGCGCTCCAGCCGGCTGGGCTCCGGCTGAAGGGGTTACGGGACTCCCACGAGGAGCTTGGGGGGGGGACAGGGTGGAGTCCTGGAGGCTCATCCCAAGACCCCCCTCCAATACATCTACTGGCATTTCCTTTGGCCTGGTCGCCATGGTTGGGCGCTGCCTCGTCCTCCCTCCCTCCACAATCCCGGCACCGAGAAAGTGAGGCCCCAAGGCTGCTTGCCCCATCCTGCCCAAGCCGGGCGACTCCCAGTCCACCTACTCTCTGCATGCCTGGCGGGCAAGGGGGCACGTAGAGCGGCGGTGGTGTCTCCGTGCTGGCCAGAGAGATGTTGTCCTGGCTCGGGAGGTCCATTTCACGGAGGGCCTGAGGCTTCAGCTTTCCGTAGCGCAGGCTGCAGTGGCGCAGACTCTTCCGCTGCCACTTTTGGGTGGCATCGCTCTCTTTACTGACCCCAAACCAGTCTGCTGTCCCCCTGAGAAGAGAGTGGAGGACCAGGAGGAGACCTGACTGAGAGCCGCAAAGCCCCCCACTACTACGTCCTTAGTTCTGCTGCCAGAGTCCTGCAAATCCTCCTGGGCCCAGACTAGTGGCCAAGCCGGGGGGTGGGCAGCGGGGGTTAGCTACAGAGCTTCAGGAGTTGTTAGTAGCACCTGCAGGAGAGTGTCCCGAGAGAACCAGCACTATTCCCAGGCCTGGGTGGGTGCAGCCCGGGGACCCGTCACTGGAGGAACAGGGCTGGCCCCTAGGTAGGGGCCAACACTTCATTGGGCTTTCAGGATGGTGTGAGACAGAGGCAGGTCCCATCGTCCTCATGGGATACGCCAAATCTTGCGGCAGCTACTTGGGGGAGGAGACCGGGGGGGACATGCTTATGTCGTGAGTCAAACAGGCTCCTGCAGTGGGAGGCAGCAAGAGAGAGAAGGAGCAGGAACTGCGTCTTTTCCTGCACCCTCCCCCAGCGCAAGGCACCCATAGGGAATCTCCCCGGGGCCGCAGGTCAGAAAGAGGCAATGTCAGGTGGGGGGACCGTGGGCTGCTTGCTGGCAACTGGAGCAGCTGTGCTCCCAGGACCCACATGCACCTCACACACATGCAGTGGTGCAGCACCAGCAGCACTGGTACCTGAACAGTGTTCTGGGCAGTGACTGGCGCTTTCTCAGGGGCCTCCTGCCCACCTGGTGCCCCCGAATGGGCAGGGTCTGAGTCCTCTCAAAGCGCACCTGCCTGCTGCAAAGGAGAGAGACTTGAAGGCCGGCAGGAGGGAAGGAGGCCGGTGATGCCTCTCAGCGGGCTGGAGCAATCTGCTCTTCCAGCTGGCAGCAGCTTGGGGAGTTGTGGGGTGGAGAAAGCCTTGGCAGCAAGGAGGGGCAGGAGGCCAAGCCCCGCTACGCTGGGGGTCCATTGCAGCAACACCAGACTCAGGTCACCCACTGACCCAGGGACCATTGGAGGGTTAGGGGTCCCGGAGCTGTCTGGTATGTGATGTGCCCGTTCCAGGCATGCAGCCTTTTGTTCTTGGGTCACACACTCACTCCATGCTCAGGTGTGCGCCCACATAGTTCTCTCTGGATGCCCGCTTCCTTGGCTTCTGCTCCACTCTGCTTTCCAGAGCCCGAACAGAGGCACGGGAAGCGAAGGTGCCCCTTTCCCAGAAGCAGGAAGACTCTGCAGCCCTTCTCGGAGGCAACGCTCCAGCTTCTGCCCCCCGCAGCTTAGCTCTTAGGATGGGGAAAAGTTCACCCACTGCACATGCTGCAGGGCCCCCTCCCCTCTCCACCGCAATACCGGAGGGCTTATCACCGTGAGATGCGGTGGCAAAGAACAGCCGCTGCCTACCAGGGTGGGGAGATGTGGCAATCTGGCTGCCAGCCCGGCTTCCAAGCCCAGCCAAGCCTTGGCAGGGATGCGGCCCAGATATCCAGGACTGGAGCGAGGCATGGGCTCCGGGGCTTACCTCCGGATGGTCTGGGTGATTGACGTCTGTCGCTGCAGGACTGGCCGCCGAGCTTCGTGGTAGGAAGCAGGGAAGAGGGTGTTCTCGGCCGGCATGCTGACGCTTCTGAGGAAGGTCTGGCGCTTGAAGGGCTGCCAAAGGAACCGGGGCGCGGGTGTCAGAGCACTGGCAGCCATGCATGGAGGGCCACAGCTGAGGCTGGCGAGAGACCGCCCACCTCTCAAGCCCGGAGGCTCCACGATGGGGTGGCTCCTCGCCCAACTTTAGTGTAGGCCCCCCCAATGAGTCCCCCAATCATGGTGGAAGACTTGCCCAGCCATCCAGGCAGGGAGGGGCAGCTGGGGGTTAGGAGCCTGGGCACGCTGGGCGGGCACTCCTGGGTGAGCCAACCAGGTACCTGGAGCGAGGCTGGTTCCTCCACTGCGGCCAAGAGCGGGGCAGCCGGAATGTCCAGTTTCAGCCAGGGAGGCTTCTTCCTCTGCAAGCTGCTGGAGCTGTCACGGCAAACCTCGGACATTTTCCCTCCTCAGCAATCCAGCCTGGAGGAGGGCAGAGTTTATGGGGAGGCGAACCAAGGGCCAAGGCAAGCCTGCTTCTGGCCATGAGCACTGACTCTCTTCCCACTCCACTGGAAGGTGTGGCCTGGGGCTGACGGGGCTCACAGGTCACCTGAGCGTGGGGCAACTTGGCCTCCAAAGCGCCAATGGCCACCAAGGCGTACAACACCAACACCCAGGCCTGGGAACAAACCCACATTAAACAGCTGCGGCTCCACTCGGCTGGAAGCTAAGCTTGGTTTGCATAAACAGCAATAGCAATGGGGGCCCACGCAGCCCAAGGCCCACACGAAAAGCAGGCGGCTGAGGCCAGGGCCAGCTGGGGACCAGGCTGAAGAGGCCCACCTGGATAGGGAAGTCCCTGAGCAAGGGGGAAATGCAGCCCACAGGCCCACTGGACACCGCCAGGACTGCCTTTGGCGGTTTCCTCTCTCTCCCGGGCCAGTCGAGCGTGAAAAGGGGGGCGCAACCAAAGCAGACCTTCTGTTCTCGGGGAACGAACAGAGGCCAGAGGAACAAGGTGCCTCCCTTCCCAGAGGGACCTGGCCAGAGGCACAGCCCAGCCCCAGCTGGACCCTCCCAGCCAAGACGGTCAGGGCTAGGCCGGGAGAATTTCCTGGTGCACACAACCGGCCAGCTACCTTCAACCCATCAACTCCATAACAGAGCAGCCCTGTGTCCGGCCCCATAGCTCTGGGTTGCCAGAGACGGCCATGTGTTCTCATCCCGCCTGACTCTAAACAGGCTGCGAGCCCCCAGCAACAGGCTGATCTTGCTTCGCCTGCCGTGACGGGTCTCCACCTGAAAGCCTTTCCCCTGCCTATTCCGGCTGCCTCCCTCTGCCACCTCTGACCCCAATAAGGCCACCTCGGCTGCTGGAAGGGCCACCCACAACTCAGTCCTGAGCCTGCCCCACCTCCTCTCACTTCCAGCTGCAGGACCCTACTTGGTAGAAACCACAGAACCAGGGCGGCTCTCAGCAGTTTCGGATTCTGACGGCTTGGTCCGCTGCAAAACTTTTGGGGTTAGGTCTCCCGTGTTCCACACACCCACTGATGGGGGAGGGGCTTCCTCCCCCTCTCAGAGCTCCCTAGCCTGCCTGTCTGTCCTGCTCTTCCCCCCCAGCCAATGGGAGAGTTGAGAGGGCTTCTTCTTCCTGGCTGCCCGCCCTCAAATTTTCCTTCCCTGCTAGGAGTGGGTGGGAACAGCTGGCCTAGGACAGTTTTCCTCATCCTCCAAAGGGCCCGGTGCTCTGCAAATATGCACAAGGCCAAAGAGGGATAAAGGCTCCCCTCCCTGCCCCCAGCAGAAAGCACTTCTCCATGCAAAGACGGCATGCAACGTGACCTCCTTCAGACAGATGCATGTCTGGATTTGCACTCAAGTCCCTCTCTCCAGCATTCTGAGGGGCTGGGTGGAGCCACAGAGACATCCCCCGAGTGGGGCTTTGGGCTCCTGTGTGACACCCTCTCCCTCCCTTCCAGGGCGGGAGCAGCAAGATGTGACATTCCTAAGAACTGGGCAGTTCCCGCTCTTGGCCAGAACCAGAAAATCCAGTTGAGGCTTCAGATTTTTCCCACAGGCTTCTTGCTTTCAAAGTTTCTCAGGGGAGTCCTGGAGGAGCTGGCAGCCTGGCTACATCCAAACCACACCAGAGCATTTGTTGCAGCTCTGCAGGAGGTGCCAAAAATTCTGCCCTCTTTCTCCTTGCAGCTCCTCTGTCTACAAAAACATAGGGGGTGGAGAGCTTTTCATTCATCTGGGCCCCCTCCCCCATGCAAGCCACATTCACACGTACACCAGAGCTGCAGCTTGACTCTTGCAAGAACAGGATGTTCTCTGATGGATGTGTTTTATTTACAAATATACAATTCTCAAGCGCTGCATGGAAAAAATACAAGAGGGTGAGTGAGACCAGCTGTCTCTATGCCCTTAGTGCACCCACCACACAAGCACAGAGACTTCAAAGCAGCCCCCCCACCTTTTTGACCAGGGGGCTCCTTTGGAATTTAGGCACTCTTGCAAAAGGGCTACTGGGCGCCTTGCCCAAAAAAATGCCATGGGGATAGAATCAGTTACAAACTTCGATTTAGCTTCCCATTAGGCCTGACTTCTATTATTTTCAATTAAAAATAAATCTTTTCTGTTAAAAAGTCAAGGGGACCAGCAGGTGACCAGCACACCCAGCACTTGCCTGCCGGATTCCTTGCAGGAACAGGGGCCTCACTGGCCCCACTGCATGAGAGGCACGGCACCCCCATTTTACGGTTAAATTCTGGCCCAGAAGCTCCCTGTTGGAGGAGGCAAAAACAGGAAGAAGGCCCAGGACTCCGGTCGATCGCCCGGCCGGCTGCGCAATCTCTCTCAAAGGCATCTGATAGAATTCACGGAGCCAGGAGGCCCTGCAGGCCATCCGGTTCCGCCTCCTGCTCCAGGCAGGAATCCAAGCAAAGCAAGGGAGCGCCTTCCCTGCACGCCCCCTCTTATCGTTAAGAGGCTCTTCCTCGCATTCAGCCGGAATCTGCCTTCCTTTCCCTTCAGCCCATTCTCTGGCGTGCCAGAGAACAGGTCCTGACCTTGGCCTGCGCCATGTCCAGGAAAGCGCTGTGCTCTCCCCCACCCCGTCCCTTTTCTGCAGGTTAAAGGGACCGGGTTTCATCATCCTCTCTTCACGGGACTTGCTTTCTAGCCTCTGGATCGCCCCGTGGCCTTCTTTGTGCCTGTCCAAAACATGCCACTGCATTTGTGTGGTGGAAGGCCCAAGTGAAGTAGGAAATACTCCGAATAGGAATTCCTGGGATTGGGGAACGATGCACCTCTGGCATTCCTCTCTCCTACAGCCTTTGGCCAGGTGCAGTTCAGCATCCTCACCACCCCTGCTATTGCCAAGCCTGGCATTCCCCATTCTGCCTTCTGCTGCCCCCATCAGCCCTCTGGGCCGCTGCGATGCCTGGTCAGCCTCTGGAGGGGAAAGAGAGCTGGGGGCAGAGTTTGCGCCTCCTGTGCTACAGCTTCCCCCAAAGACCTCTTCCCTCCCAGCTTGCTTGGCATAGCAATGCCATTCTCTTTTGTAGGGTCACCTTTGGGAATTTCTCAGGCTATACTTAGAAAGGAAAGGAGAAAAGGTAAGGCTTTAAAGAAAAAGAACGATGGGAGGCGTAAGATCAGCCCAGCCACATCAGAGCAAAGCCGCCTCTTCCAGGGTCCCAGCACCAACCGGATGCCACAATAAGAAGTCCAAGAGGGGGCGGGGGGGCTCGGCTTCTTCCTGCTCCTGCTCCCGGCACTGAGCTGTGCTGCCTCCGATACTGGAGGTGGCAAGGAGCCATCGTGGATGAGATGCAGAGTGGCGCTAAGAGGAAAAACGTGATTCCTCGTCTTCCCCCCCCCACCCCCCAGCCATGCTATTTACTTCTGCTCTTGAACTTCTGCTCAAGGAATTGAATTTACAGCTGGCTGTAGGGGCTCTGGATGAGGTGCTGGATCAGGATGTCCAAGAAGAAATTCAATTCCTCAAGCAGAGTTTTCTTCCTTCCCTGCCAGGGCACTGGGGTTCCCATGACCAGTGGGAAATTTGGACAGAGGCTGGTGCTTTGTGCCATTTTCCTCTGAATTCATTTTGTGGGAGAATGCACCCCCGAGCTTATGGTTTTAAGCCTCATTAGGACAGGTCCGTCCTCCCCACCCGCGCATTTGCCTCCAGCCACAAGTGGGGGGGGGGCTAAGAAAGCGCAGGGCTTCCTAAGTAGGAAACTCAGGGGAACCCCAGCGCCCAGGCAGAGAAGGAAGAAACTCAGGTGTCCCCCCGCCCCCCAGGAGCAAGCATTAGCTCTTTGGCCTTCAAAACGGAAGCCCACGGCTACTACGGCCTCCCAG